GTTTATTGCTTTTAAAGAACACTTTTTTACTTTGTTGCGTTTAAAGAAATCGATGAGACGTCCAAAGTAAAAACGACGTATCTCCATTCAACATTTTTTCAATTTCGCTCCCGACAAAACGCTGTTTTACAAGGAAAGTGAAACATATCCATTCCTCTTTTTTTCGAGTCGACTTTGGCGCACCATCAGTAACTCTAAATGAAAAACTGAAGCCTAATGGCAATTGAATTTTTTTGTATTAGATCGTTGTGTTTGGAACAAAAATTAGAATATATATATCAATAATAGAGAATAATAATTAATAATATAATGGAATAATAGAGTTGCGGTGTTTTTGCTATGGACGGTATAAGAAGTGTACCTAAAAATGACTTCTTGAACTTGAGCAAGAAACAACATTTGTGAGAAGTTTGGATCACATATTTAGGTGTTTCATGTTCTGTCTTGAAGCCTTTTATCCTCGCTCAGGGTTTTACAACCGGACTCCGTGTTTTTTCGCCAGGAGTTTTTCTTCGTCAAGGCCTAAGTTTCTCGCTCGCGCGCCTGCCGAGAAGATTATCAAAAAGAAGACGAAAAGAAAGTAAACAAAACGAAATCATATCGACTTTTCGTGCCGATTGTCCCCCTCGTTTCCTTTAGACTCGGTCCGGGAAGCCATATCTTGGCTCACCTTCGCCCCATTACTTAACACCCTTGCGCCGTCGTGTTGAGGAAAAACATTGTATGAACATTTAAACGTTGCCTAATTTCCTCGAATAAAATATTTATGTGTGAATAATTTTCCTTGAAATTTCACATACGCCGGATTTAAATGTGAAGCAATTCTTTCGAAAAATCTAGAGAAACTTCGCAGTAGGAAGGGCCGTTAAGAAACAATCCTCAAAAACTATTCTCAGAAAACTCAATTTGGTTATTTTTCAAGGTAAATTATAGAACAGTAAATTTAACGTAAATAGTTCCAAAAAGAAATTACCATACCGTTTTAAGAGTTTTGTAACATTTTTTTCGAACATTTTCGATGTCAAAAATTACAGCAGATCCCTCAAGAGTTTCTAACGCTTTTCCTCCCAAACTTTACTGCTCCTAAATTTTACCCCCTCCCAACCCCATAAAAAAATTCCCTAAAATAAATATTTTGATAGTTTGAAAAAAGAGTCGTTGTTACTTGGGAATGCTTACAGTTACATCGTTCGGAAAATGCCTTTTATAACGTCAGAAATGTGGCACTTACCGAATGCTCATATGGCGCTTTTGCTCAGCGCGGCAATAATAACGCGCAAATTCGGAGGCGTTACTCAATGCACGCTTGCCGATCACAATCGAATAAGTCGCCCCTCGGACGAAAGAACGTAAACGCGCCTCGAGATGGGCGCCGTCGCCCGCAGAACCCTACACTTCTCAGGGCTGTCCTGGAAAAGGAGTTACGAGCTTACAGCACCCGAAAGACTATTCTACATCGAACCGACCGTTTTCCCGCCGGAATCTGGCGCGCGCGACCGTTTCCTAATCTAGTTAGGCGTGAGTTTGCAGTGGTCACTCTGCGTTTTGACACAATCACGCTCTTCGCTGACGTAACACCCTTGTCCAGTGGCGTGGCGTGAATTGCGATATATCGATTGTTATGCCATTTAAACCTATGGAAAAAGATCGATTATCAGGGTGTTCGCAGCGAACACCTTAGTAATCGATTCTTTACCATAGCTTCAAATGGCGAGATATCGATAATCGATTATTCACGCCACGCTACTGCCCTTGTCGTCGAATGGGAGCTCGGCGATGGCATAGTTGAGTCTTCTGGTTTGCGGAAATCTAGGCCGGCCTCCGACTACAACTTCAGGGAAAGCTTAAGATTCGCGCCTCGGTCCGCGACCTCCAGGTCTTTAAAAGCTTCCTTCGCCGCACAGTGGATCGAGTCAGTTGGAGAGGTCGGACAAAATTTGGAAACTTTAAGCGCTCATAACTCCGTTTATACAAAACTTTGAGGTTCTACAGGTGGTTTCATTGGTTTCCTCGTGAAATTTCCTTCTGTTAGCATCCCTTGAGTTATAAAATGTGACGAGGTAAACATCAAAATTTGCAGTTTTAGTCAAAAATTTCATGTCCGACCTCTCGAATTGTCTCGATCCACTGTGCGCCGTCTCCCTTTACCTTGCTTTTCCCTTTGTCTGCTTTGTCTATCAATTTTAATATTAAGCCCCTTGATTTTCCTTCGTCTTAATATGTGTTTGCAAAGCATTATGCCTCACCAAGAATCGCGATTTATAGGACGTGGTGATGGAGCGTTAGAGTTCTCAGACATGTCGGTAAAAAGGTTAGGTCATGGAATCTTTAGGGCTCAGAAGGGCAGCCAACCTATGAATTCTTATTATCCAAAGTGGTTTATTATTACAAATGTTACAATTCGTCGTTTCTAAAGCAAGAATTTGACTTACTTTGCGCCTAAATCACTCATTTTAGCAGAAGAACGCTCATTTATGAATATTCTTGGCCATCTTGGTCGGATATTAGAATCTGGTGATTTGCAGTGGAAGGTTGGCTGCCCTTTTCGGCCCTAATATTTCAACAAGTCCGTACTCTCACTATATAGGTACTCTAATTAGCGTCATTGGTGTAGCGAAATCTCCTCGAAAAATTGGGTGAAAACTAATTGATCGCTGTAGCACGCCCGAGTAACAAGAGAATGCCACCGCTACGGCTCCCGCCCCCTCCTCCTCCTCCTCCCCCTCCCTGGTGCTTCGCCTTGACTTTCAACTTGACGAAAAAGCGCACTCGAGTCGAATTGTGGCCGACAAGGAACGGGAACGACAGGAACGGCCTGGAGACGGTCGGGCCGCGCGGGGAACGGGCAGAAATTGAACCAAGGCCAAGGCTATCTCAAGGGCCTCGCGAATCGATATCAGCGCCGCGCCGCGCGAGCGTGGCGTGGCGTGCGCTTGAATCGAGCAGTAATGACTCTCAGTGACGATGAGCAAGAGCTTTTATCACTTCGAGCAAGACGAGGGATCAAGCGATCTTGACTTCGAATCCCAAGTGCCAGCACACTTTTCTAGTGCGCACCTTGAGTGCATGCTCCAAGTGTCACCGCTGGTTACTATGGACAAGAGGGTCAACATAAAAATAATGCCATTTGAGACTGTTTATAAGTAGCGTAACGCTGTAGGGGGAAGGTGGGTCTTAATGATTTTATGAGCGAGCGTTTCCAATCATCAGGATGTGGAAGTGTCAACCTTAGCGTTACGTATACCGTTAGGTACATGACATTTCAACTTTTTTCCCTTTCCTTTTTAAATTTTTATGGTACCATTTTTTCTTGTCTCTTGGAACACAGAGCCCTCTAATTAAGGGAGGCTATGCTATGCCCTCCCCCTTTTTTCAGCGAGGAGTTTCTTTTTTGTGCTAAAGGGGGTATGGTTAAGCAAATCTTACGTAATTATTTTGGGGGTGTCTGGATCAGCGTTACGATTGCTGTATAAGTGGTGGGAGGGGGGGGGCGAGCGTCGGAAAAGGGGAAAAATCGCGTTACGTATTTTATGGACAGACCCTTCATAGGGAGAATTTAAAGAAGTCGACTCATGGATGTCATAAACGGTAAAACAGTTTACAGTTTGTACGTTTTTCGTAATCTTTGAAAACCTCATTTTCCGTACCATTTTTTGCAATCATCTGCATAAAAATACCGTCTTTTCTTTTTTTTTCCTTTTTTTCCCCTTTTTTTGATCTCACAAAGTTAAAGGTGGTTGGTCTAAATGGTTGAGCACATAAATGACCGTTCGCGAAATGGAAATTCACATGCGAGTAGCTCGCAATCCAACGCAACTTTTGTTAACACTGTGATTAATATCCAACAACATGCAATTCGAAGAGTTCCGATCATTGCACCAGTTTTTTCCCCACTCTTTAGTATCAACTTTTTTTTCCATCGCGCAACATTAGAGCGTGAGTCATAAATGCACCGCAGGAATTGTAATGGAGGATTTGCCCTTAGTCTAGTCAAGGTTGCCAGCTCGACATTTTTTTTAAAAAATCTGTGCAAACCGTCGGATAACCTGCTTCCAGAATTTTTACGACATGTTAGCCAATGACACAAGACAATTGCATAGCATCATCACCAAGAAATTTTTCTAAAGACTATATTTTTTATGATCGATGGTGAGCACAAATCAAATAGGATGGCTTTTTCTGGATGAAGCGGATTTTAAGATGGGAGTTTTGAATCTTTAGGGCTAATTTTTTGCGCAATGGCTGTTTTAAACTGGAGACCAAGCGGTGGAAAATCAAAATGTGACTTATTGTTAGACTTGAGTAGATAGCGGAACTTCCTCAAATTCCTCATGCAAATAGACTTGTTTTACTAGAAGCTACCCCACATTTCGCTGAAGCTAAAGCTGTGCGTAAATGAATTTTACCTACAACAATGAAGTTGCGCAGTGCGGCAAAAAGGTGATGGTTTGAAGATCCATATTTTGTGCGGGTATAACATTCCCAGAACGATGTCTCGTTTAAGGCGACACCTCAATTCCAAATCAACCGATTGAAAGTGGGATGAATACTCCTTCATTTTGCGGTCACTCCTGCAACCCTGTCGAGTCGTAACCATCGCGAGCTACCTCGCCGCTGAAATTGAGACTAATCATAATTTTACGGACGATTCCACGCCTGAGGAATTTCCCTGGTTTCCCGTTCTCGCTGAACATTACGAATTTCCGACGGTTTCTTTTTTCACAAATTTCACGGCTTTTTTCTTGCCGTGGCAGTCAGTTGGGCAGAAATTCGGTATCGAGCGGTTTGACACGAGATTGAAATAACATAGGCCGTTCATAAACTCAATGACGTCAGGCAATAGACCGGTATCACCGATTTTTTTATAAAATGTATCTCCTGAAAGTACGTAGCGCGAAAGAAGCGTTTTGGAATTTCCCAGACGTTTTTGACCCTCAATGGCTTTTCACTGTCTGAAAGTTTTCCAAGTAACTTATATATGTTCTCCTTTTTTGTTCTAGGTCTGTGGATCCCCCACAACCTGCAAAACTCTAGTCCCTGTCACCGCAGGAGAAAATGTAAGTTCAACTCCTGTAAGTTTCTATTATTGATTAAAGTAGTAACTTTATAAGCGAATGGTGTCGTTTAGCGGTTATGACAACGCCTTGATACAACTATTCATGCCTCAGCGATGACCGTTTTGCATACACGAAAAATTGAAGGCTCTCGGTCCTTGTTCTGTCATCCCATGTCTCCATTGCTTCCAACTAGGTTATTCAAAGGGAAATCTAATCGGCGCTTTTTTTCTGGAATTTGAAAAATCCATGAGTTGAACATGGCATCAGTGACGTGTCCATTCGATCGGTCTAAAACCCCCGTTACCCTGCTGCCGAAGAGGGCCCAAAAAGTGCAAAAAAGTAGTGACTATTGATCGAATCAAGTGTATTTTTTCTTGTCATTGTTCTCAAGAGTCTGGACTTAAGGTCCAAGCTACGTATCGGGGCTGCCCTTAAATTACGTTGAGCTCTTTCGGAATTTTTGACCCCCCCCCCCTTCAACGCTCTCGTGACGTGGGTCCCTACCTTGTGACACGTAAAAACAAAATGGCGTAACGCTCTCCTCCATCCCCTCCCCTCCTCCCAGAGGATTACATATACTCTAGGGACGTCCCCTTAAGTTATTGTGTGTCTTCTCATATTTACACAGAATGTCGGTAACGCTCCTTACTACGCTTCGCGTAGTAAAGAGCTTTTTCTTACTACGCTCCGTCTTACATCCTCGTAAGTTACCCGCAACGAGGCGTGCATNNNNGGGGGGGGGGGGGGGGGGGTGTTGCATAATCGGCTGGCACGAGATGGAGCTGTTGGCTACTGCGTTTGAGTGTGACAGGGCGGGCGAGGCTATAAATGACGCCCGGCGAAACGGTTTTGGCACGGGTGCGGGTCGGGCCGGCCGAAACCGATGAGCAGCGACGAGCACCGTCCAACAGCCGAAGCCGGGCCGACCGCAGCCGCAGCGCCGGCCGTCCCATGCCGAACGCCACTATTGATCAAGCCGGTTAAATATAGGTCACTGTGCCGGAACGCCGGGAGCCGGCCCGGATCAGAGCCGGGTCCCTCCCGCGATGCCAGATTCCGCTTCCATGTTCCGCTTGTCGAGATTTCTTTCTAAGTTCCTCCAGAATGGAAGCGGACTAAACTAAAAAAAAAAAAAAAAACTACGGCCCTGGAAGCCGTACTTACGGGCTATATAAGCATATCGTCCGCGTTCCGGGCTCAGAGTCGGAAGTTCCGGACGTAACACCCGGCCGCAATTTTTTGTTTTAAGGTGATTCGTCAAGCTCTAAAGATGTGGTCGACCTTGCATTCGATACATCGCAGCCTTCAGGTAAAAAATCACGGCAGATTTTGATTTTTAGCAAAACAAAAACGATAATCCCTGCGCATGAGCCTAAAGCATCATTCTAAACTCAAAAATGGGCAAAATTCAGAGAAATGAAAGTAGAATAATGTCAGGGAAAAAACCTCGCATTCGATTCAGCAATCGATGTCTACCGATTCTGCCAGCGATGAAAACATGGGATGACAAAACGGACATCGCGAGCCTTCAATTTTTCGTGTATCTATGCAAAACGGACATCCCTGGAGCGCGAATAGTTGCATCAAGGCGTGTGTGCGGCGCCGGATCTGCAGATCGGTGCAGTGGCAGATACCCGGGAAATCCCAAACGAACTTTTAGTAGTCAAAGTCACCCTGCACTCATACATTCATCAGTCATCATTCAGCGAATGCCATGCTCAATACGTTGCACGTTGCTCATCAATCATCTTTGGGCGAAAAGTAGCGTTGGCCTCAGAAATTCACTTCCGCACTCACACGATCAAATCGCTCACATTGTCAGTGCGAGGCCGTTAAAACATTCTGTCCCTGCGATCAACCGGATTTCCCCCGGTACGAGCTGTAAAAGTTCGAACTTTGACTCGTAAGTTCAACCATCCGGCAACACATCACTTCCATGCTTTATCCGTACCCCTCCTTCTCCTCTGCATGGCCCGCACTGCCTTTCTCGGTCAGGGGAGAATGTTTGCAACCTGCTGCAAATATCCAAGCAACGCCCTAGTTTCGGGGATACTACCCCCTCCCCCCAACCCGCCGCCCCTCCCGTCCGTCCCAGCTTCTTTGTTCTTCGCTTCCCTGACTTTTCCCGCCCCTCCCTCCCGCCCTGTGCTGCGCGTGGCGTTCGCCGCTAGTGCACCGCGATTCACTCGCAACGCGCCGCGAGTACCGCTGAATGTTCCCGAATTTTTTTAATACTCCCATAAACATGCATTACGGGCCGATTATTGAAATTGATGGACAAAGCTGTATGGAAGACAAAAGGGATTTGGAGGGATCCTATTAGTGGAAGCGGGTGGTTGCAATTGATGAAGGCGAAAGGTACTAGACTAACTAACGGCAACTCATGAGAAACCCGACAATTAGTCCATCATTTTCTCCCTGAGTCTATGAGAACCACACATTTCAGCCAATAGGATCGCTCCATACTCCCTAAGTCTTCTTTGTCTATCACTTTGTCTATCAATTTCAATAATCAGTGCTAATTGTTTTCGACCGCGCGACTACGGCCAAATCTTCCTCTAAAAATTGAGGAGGCTGAGAGAATGTTTTCGTCCTTTTCTTCTGGAGGTTTTCAGGTTTTCGAACCTAGCCCATGGTCCATGGTGTCTAGACATGGATAAACAGCAAAAATCCGGGATTTTTTAGGGAATGGAAACTCTCATGGAAAATCTGAGAATCTGTCTCAGAAACCGGGGATCCCTTCTTCTACCGCTTTGAGGCGTGAATTTCTCCCTTCAATAATTTCATTTAGGATCGTGGCAGGGTAAAGGAAAATCAAATATAGAGTTTCAAGAAATACCTACGGTTGCAGAGTTTCCAGCGGTCTGGAAAGCCTGCAAAGTCAGGGAATTTCGCAAGCAGTGTTTAACAGGAATCAGCGTAATTTGATGAGAAAAACCTCAGTGGACGTTTTGCTTGAAAGCCAGGAAAAGTCAGGAAATTCAAGAAGTTTGGAGTCAGGGAAAGCAAAATAGTCATGAAAATGTCAAGGAATTGGGAAATGAAGAAATTATGAAAACCCTGACATTGATGATCTCTAGGGCTCTTTTTCTTGTGTTGATTCGAATGACTCGAGCTTTCGGCTTTGAATAATGATGCAACATCATCGAAAAGAAAAAAAGAAAAAAAGAAAGAAAGAAATTTTGAAAGAATTTAAATATGTTCACTCCGCGCCGAGCCCGAGCGACCGTGGCCTTTTCAATGCCGCTCGGAGTTTTCCCTCGAAATGTCTTTTTGATAAATAGTTCATCAACGCAACGGCAACGGAATGCGTATCGGAAAACTCCCATCCATCAATCATTGCGAACGGAACACGAGCCGATAATGGCCTCTCCTTTATTTCCCTTTCCTTCCGCCGTTGCCGTGTACTGCTTTTCAATTTCGCATCCAGCTAATTAGCATTATCACGTTTGACCTTTGAATTATAAAACGCTAAATGAATAATTTTTAAGATCCATACCCGTGTGATACTCGTTAGCGCACCATTTTAAAGTTTCTTAAATATCACGTCATGCTATAGCTTTCAAAAAAAAAAAAAATAAAAAATAAAGATTAAAATAAAAGAATGTATAAAAGAAGCGTAAACCCCCATGAAACACGTACAAACTAAGTAAAGAAGAAACACTAATACTAATAAAAAACCGAATCATCTGAACTTGAGATGTTTACTGTTAACATCGAGATTGTTTTTCAACGAATACCAAGTGCTGCAAGATCAAGAAAACGAAACTTCATTATAAAATTCCTAAATTTGTCAATTTTTTCGTCACATGATCTGAAAGAAACTGCGTTACACTATCAAATCACGCTAAATTCCAGTTAAACATAGCTCATCAATCTAAATACATTTGCGATGGGGCCCCTGTTTAGGTAGATTTTCTTGTATTTTGATTGTACCATGAGCATGAAGCCCAACCAATCAGTAACGCCCCCTAAATCCTATCAGCAACTTTTTCGCCCGACCCCATTTTCCACCTCATATTTTACCAAAACCAACCGGTTTAAAATCGACAAATCATTCAGCTGATCAGAACGCGTGCATTGAAGCGAAATATACCACGGCCGTAAAACAAAAGCGGGCATTTTCAGCCACCCAGCCGCAAAGTGAGCTTTTAATCCCACGCTTGATCCCGATCAAAGCCCTCCCAAATTACCCGCCTTCTTTCGGACTCTAACGATTTTATTGTAAAGCCTTTAATTTCATCGTTATCGCCCCTATGCGATTACGCCTTAAAGCCCAAACGAGTTTTCGAATGGTAGCTGATGATATTGGTAGCTCATTAGAAGCTAGGGGGTTAAATTAAAAGGGGGATACCGGTTGATTCGTCTATTTCTACACGGTTCATTTTAGTACGAAAACGTGTAGCGACGGCCAAGGAACAAAACCTCCTAACCAGTGCTTCCATTTCCCGGAACTAGTACCGAAGTTTGGAACTTTTGAGATTTTCCTGAATTTTCCCCGGAACTTTTGAAAGTCCCAAAATGTTCCGGATCTGTAGATTTGCCAGAATTTTCTCGCAACTTTTGAAAGAATATAAAAAGAATCCCGGAACTTTTGACCGTCATGGAATGGGAGAAATCAGAGCGAGGAAGTTCCGTGTTCCGGAACTTTTGATGGTTATGGGATCGGAGCACTGCGCCTACCTGACAATTTTAGCGAAAATAAGTTTACGACTTTGTAACATTGTGCAGTGCACAGTGTACAGTGTAATGTGTACAAAATCTGGTGTTTTTTTCAAATTGTACGCGAGGGCGCTGAAATGTGTGTAAAACATCGTAAACCCAACCTCAAAATTACAAAAATGGCGAAGTTTCTTCGTCCTGCATTTAATCGTCAGTTTGCAGATAAGCGGTATTGTCCCTTCGCCATCGCTACTCATCGTCGCGAGCCGGCATCGATGCCGTGTTAAACGAAGCTTATAAATCAGCAGGTCCCTGCGACCCACCCCCGCCACCCCCGCGCGGCCGCCCCTCCG